AGGCCAGCCGCTCATATACAGCAGGCACTCAGTGTGTGCTGGCCACAAGGATTGGCATTCTTGGTGTTAAAGATTTTGGCGTTGGCCGGGCGTGGTGGCTCAAGCCTGTAATCCCAGCACTTTGGGAGGCCGAGACGGGTGGATCACGAGGTCAGGAGATCGAGACCATCCTGGCTAACATGGTGAAACCCCGTCTCTACTAAAAACACACAAAAAATTAGCCGGGCGTGGTGGTGGGTGCCTGTAGTCCCAGCTACTCGGGAGGCTGAGACACGAGAATGGCATGAACGCAGGGGCGGAGCTTGCAGTGAGCCGAGATCTGCCACTGCACTCCAGCCTGGGCAAGAGTGAGACTCTGTCTCGGAAAAAAAAAAAAAAAGATTTTGGCGTCATCTGACTGGGTTCTAGCTCTGGTGGCCCCTTTTTCTTTCAGGTTCGTGACTGTATCTCTCTGTGCCTCAGTTTTCCCATCTGTAATAATACCAAATATTTCATGAGTCTTTGCTGTGTGCTAGACACCCTTATTCTTCTGCAACCCAATGAGAACAGAGCTTGTGTCGTCCCTGTTTTATGGATGGGGACTCTGACGCATAGAGAGGTGTTGGGGTTTGCCTGGCCCAAACAGAGCAGAGACTCGAACCCAGGACCTGGAGTCCAAGCTCGTAGTCACTCCAAGGGGAGACAATGGAAGCCCCTTGTGGGCCCCTGGGTGGTCGGGGCAAGTTACCCACCCCTTCAAGTGCTGCGAGAATGTTGCCTATGGTAGTTACTGTTGCCTTTGTTAGGCGTTATCTTTCCCCAGGGATCCCAGCGCCTGGGCCCAGAGGGGACACGCCGGCCAGGAGGGGGAGGATGGATGAGGAGGGCAGTGCAGGCTGGGCAGTGGCGGGGCAGGCGAGAGGCGGTGCCTGAGTGACCACGGTTCCGTGCCAGGCGGTGTCTAGCTGGGCGGGCAGGGAGCAGGCAGGCGGGGGCAGGGCTCTGCTGCAGGCCTGTTGGGTGGGGGTGGGGAGGGCAGGCCGACGGTGTCACAGCAAGGGGGCATGACTGAAAGCCACCTCTGACCACCACCTCTGCCTCCACAGGCTGGACAATTTGCTCAACATGGCCTACGGCGTCAAGAGGTAACAGTGCCCCCGCCCCGCTGTCCCCACCCCTCACCATCCATGCCCCTGATGCACGCCTCCCCAGCTTGTCCTGAGGGCTGCAGGCTTAGTCTTTTTTGCCTGAGTCTTGGAGTAGCATGGCCATTGAGAGATGTGACATCGAAGCCAGGCATGGTGGTTCTTGCCTGTGCTCCCAGTGTTTTGAGAGGCTGAGGGGCAAGCAGCACTTGAGGCCAGGAGTTCGAGACCAGACTGGGCAACATAGTGAGATCCTTCTCTACAGTTTTTTTTTTTAAAGGATTAGCCTGGTGTGGTGGCACATACCTGTAGTTCAGGCTACTCAGGAGGCTGAGGCAGGAGGATCACTTGAGCCCAGGAGTTGGAGGCTGCAGTGAACTGTGATGGTGCCACTGCACTCCAGCCTGGGTGACAGAGCGAGACCTTGTCTCCAAAAATTAAAAAATGTGGCCGGGCACGGTGGCTCATGCCTGTAATCCCAGCTACTCAGGAGGCTGAAGCAGGAGAATCGCTTGAACATGGGAGGAGGAGGTTGCGGTGAGCCGAAATCGCGCCACTGCACTCCAGCCTGGGCAACAAGAGCAAAACTCCATCTCAAAAAAAAAATTTAAAAATGTAAAAAAGAGGCCGGGCGCGGTGGCTCAAGCCTGTAATCCCAGCACTTTGGGAGGCCGAGACGGGCGGATCACGAGGTCAGGAGATCAAGACCATCCTGGCTAACCCGGTGAAACCCCGTCTCTACTAAAAAATACAAAAATCTAGCCGGGCGAGGTGGCGGGCGCCTGTAGTCCCAGCTACTCGGGAGGCTGAGGCAGGAGAATGGCATGAACCCGGGAGGCGGAGCTTGCAGTGAGCTGAGATCCGGCCACTGCACTCCAGCCTGGGCGACAGAGCGAAACTCCGCCTCAAAAAAAAAAAAAAAAAAAAAATGTAAAAAAGATCTCAGTCTCAGTCTAGCAGGGGAGGAGACAGAAATGAATAGCAATGAGGGCTGTGCAGTAGAAAGGGTAACGGAGGCCGGGCGCGGTGGCTCTTGCCTGTAATCCCAGCACTTTGGGAGGCCGAGGTGGGTGGAGCACGAGGTCAGGAGTTCAAGACCAGCCTGGCCAAGATGGTGAAACCCCGTTTCTACTAAAAATACAAAAATTTAGCCGGGCGTGGTGGTGGGGAGGCTGAGGCAGAGAACTGCTTGAACCCGGGAAGCAGAGGTTGCAGTGAGCCGAGATCACGCCACTTTACTCCAGCCTGAGCGACAGAGCGAGACTCCGTCTCAAAAAAAAAAAGAAGGGGTGACGGAGACCCAGCAGCAGAGGTCCCCCTCGCATCTGAGGCAACATCCACACACAGGCAGAGTGGAAAGGGAGTTCGTGGCAGTG